AACTTAGCGGGGTTCACTGTGATCTTTCTGTTTGACTACACATAACCTCAATTGTCATCTCAGACAGCCAAAACTTGCTCTTAGGGAACTTAGCGTACAATTGTTATGTTCATAACACCATCATAACTTTCCCCTCCTTGCCAACTAACTCCATCTTGGTGTACAACGACATATCGTCATTGAAGTCGTCTCTGACGATAACAAGAAAATTCCTTAAACGTTCGATTAGTCATAACCTAAACCTTAGCAAGACATTGATTAGGTCGAAAGACTTATCAATAAACTTTCCTTCCTCGTGATTGCTCCTAGTAGTTGTCTTCGATATATCTCTCTCCCTGATCCTCATATGAGGTATCCTAAACTTGTCGAGACCCTTACAAACCTACTACTTCACCAAGAATGGTCTCGTAATTAGCTCCCAATTGGCCAACATAGGTCTTTCCTCACAACAAGATAACTTGTCATGTAGCTCGCCTGAGTACTAATACTCATCTGAGCTAAATGCAGGCTCTTTTGAAAGTAAAGGTTCCTCGTATAAGTCCTCTACATTCACTTAGGTCAACTCCTGTAGTGTCTTATGGTTGATCAAGTCACGTTTCCTTTCGTAGTCATATCTTATATTGGCTCGTGCGTGTGCATCTCTCAAGTTTTTGTAAAGGATCCTATGAAACTCTCTAAAAACTCTTGTTTGGTAACTAGTCTTCCTCAAGCTCTGAGGATACTTTTATCTATGTCCAAGGTTTTCCCTAAGACGCATTATGTCTTCTGCTTCCCTTACTAATGTACTATCACCATCTCACTACTCTTCAGGTAGTTTCCAATCTCACGTTATCTAGCGTCTCTACTTCTGTCTGAGCATGCTTCACAAGTATGGTCTTACACTTATGTGTAAAAATAGAGTTCTACTCTTTGTAATCCAGATAACCTAAACAAGGGTTGGTTCTTACTAACATGCATATGAACTTTCTCCCTCCAGACACGAAGGCATGGCCATAGCTTGACCGCTTTTTCCTGCTGTTCTTAATCTTAAGGTTCACTGGATTACCTTAACAGTTTTCACGTTTGTAAGCATGTATGTTCTGACCAAGAATAAGTTAGAACACGTTCATATGATCCTCATAACCACGTGCTGCTATTGGACTCGGTCCTCTACTCCAGGGTCCAAAACGACTTGTCATCCATTAGGTGATCCATCCATAGGAATATCCTACACCCCATATCCCATTAGTGGCATAAAAGGGCACATCACACTTTTGGAAGTCCATAAACTTGAATTTAGCCTGTGAAGACTCCAATCAAACCTTGAAGTCATGACCTTCATCGCTTCACTCTCATTGTTGGTGAATTTTATCTCTCGACTTCCCGACTTAACCAAAACTCAGTTGAGGTAATGGTTTGCTTGAGGGGTATTTAATTCCTATAGTGATCGTCTTTGGTTGTACGAACAATATTGCTTGGGTCTACCTTTGTGGTTTATACTAAGGCATGCTCTATACTGTCTAAGCCTTCTACATGCTCTCCACGGAGGCATGCTTGTCATCAAGAATTATGGTCACAGGAGGCTGGGTCCTAGGTAATTCACCTCGTACTAGGCCTTAGAAAGTCTCATGTTCATCTTTGGACGTCTCGCACTCTGCGACGTCATCTCTCTATCTCCCTAAGGCTAGTAAGCTATAACATGACCTCTCTCGGCCTCCTCGCAATAACTCGTATCTAGCATTGACGTATAGAGTGATCATTCATTATTTATCGCCCTAAGGCATAATCATAGCTACCACATAACCTAAGACAAACATCAAATTCCCATGCTTTACATCATAACATAATCTACTAAACAGGGTTAGACTGCATACCTGGTCGCGGCGAGGCGTGTTGTCGAGCTGAGTCACAGAGGTGTACGACTCTCTATCCTAAAAATAAAGTCTACAGAATCAAAAACCGACTGCTCTGATACCAATCTGTCAAGACCCGATTTTCAAGGCTTCGAAAATCAGACCGTGAACTAAAAGACGAAATCGAAAATAAACAAAAAGAAAATAGAAGAAGAGAAAAGTAAAAAGATAAAAACTCCATTTGGTTAAAACAAGAGAGAGAAGATTAGTTTCGAAATTATTACAAAGAAAATTACAAATGTAAAATGAAACACAAAAGACTCGAAAAGACCGACAAGGGACTGACGCTCCGGAACGACCCCCTCTGTGACCGCACAGCTCTCGAACGCTCCTCCACCTCGACCGGCACCTAAAAAAAAAAGGGTAAAAGGAATGAGTATAAAAATTATACTCAGTAAGCCACCTACTTGTAGGCTCTCGTCGCACCCTAAACTTAACAAACAACCACGGACTTTCCTTTGGCTCTAGATCATCTGATTCTGGTCTTAGCTCATTAGGGCTTCCCCCTAGGGACTTGCCCCCTTCGGGCTTCTTTGGTTCTTAGATCTTCTATTTATACCCCTAGAGTTCCTTTTATGCTAACCCGTGTCGGACTGGTGCCTTGCGAGTGGCTACCTCGGCATGGGTATGAGATTACTTGGGGTCTTGCCTAGGAAGTGAGCTGCAACCCCCTAGCCCCATGGTAATCCCCCTGTATTTGGGAGGGCTACCTCCCCTATTCCATCCAGCTAAACGGTCAATTACGACGTGGGTATCCCGTTTCCCATACTAAACGGCTATCGAGCAGTCGAGTCCTGATCAGGAACCCGCTGGTCCCCCACGAAGCTATATCACCATCCACACACAAGTAGCCTAAGGGTACTCTAGAGGTGGCTCGTATGCCGTGGTGGTCTGTTAGCCTACTGGGGAATGTTAGGTCTTATACCTTAGTGTCTTGTTACTCTAACCACATATCCCTAGACTTTATCATTCTCGTGGGACGTGGAAATTAACTGAGTGTGCACACAACTATCATCCAGCATCATCATGCAAAATAAACATACATGCTCAACGGGGCCATGACATCCGTCAAATCCCGGAGCGCAGAGTTCACAAGTTCCTATTCTCCTTTCAGCATGAATTAAACATTTACATATAAAGCGGAAGCTTAGAACATAATAGCAACACTCAGATAATTTTCGTAATATTTCACATAATACATCCATACTCTTAACAATCAAATTACTTACATTCAATCATGGAAAAATACCACCTAAGGTAATTAAACTAGCATGCATGCATAACCAAGCGACTCCTGCAAGTATTTCTTCCTAAAGTTCCAGGTGGTGACTTACCCGATTGACGCGTGTTCTTCGTTGAGCATTTCTACACCAGTAGAGTGTCCACAAATACTGAATTTTCTCATTTAAACCCTCACGCGCTCACACGCGCCTGGGAAGGAGCTACACGCGCACGGCCACGCGCGCGTACGGACGCGCATGAGGGAGGGGAGACGCGCGCTGAGGTGTTGCCACGTGGCGCCCCGATGAACGGTCAGCCGAGGTCGAGGTCGTCGGTTCGAAACCGGAAGGACGCGCTGGAAATTCGAATTCTTTTACGCTGACGCGTGGCAACGAGAAGCCGGGTCGGTGGTCCGGGTTGCGCGCGGGTCATCGGGTCGCGAACTCGAGTAGCGGGCCGCCGGCCATCGAATCCCGCCCGACGCGAAGTATTTCTTTGATTTTTTTTCTTCTCCAATGGACGCTTGACACGTGGCCCTTCTCCTCCGGCGAAGCGCAGCCTCCTCCTTTCTCCTGCGATTTCCAGCATTCGATTACTTTGTTCCATTTTCTTTACATTTTCACATTTCGTTCTACCTAACTCGGATCAACATGGTTCTTTCACGAGATTTGTAGAGCGTATATTCATCTTTAGGCAGGTATTTTTCTTGTAATTTATTTCTAATCCCCGGGATAATTACCTTAGTCCGAAAATGGCAAGAAACATCAATACCTACCTCTTTGACGAACGCCGAAACTCCCATTTCCGATCTGAATCGATTACAACTTCCTTCTCAGGTTTTGAGCGTAATCCTCTGTAGATTAACATACTCAAATTTCAGGCTCTAACTCTTACTATATCTCAGAGATCTGAAGCAATTTCGAGAATCTGGATTCAAGAACTTTACCTTTAGATTTTTCCTCATTTCTTGATGGTTTTCGATGATCTAAAAGTTAAGAATGTTCTCTTCTAAGTTCTGTGAAGATTTCATGAAGAAGGCTCGGCCGGAACCGGACTCCTCGTGGCCGGAGCGGCGGCTACCTCCTTCTCTCTCTCTAGAACTTTCCTCCTCTCTCTATAATTTTCTTTCTCCCTATTTCTATTCCTTTCTTTCCGGCCGTTTTTCCTTCTCTTCCCTTTCTCTTTTTTTTTTTTTTTTTTTTTTTGTTTTTTCCTTTATGGAGGGTATAATGACCAAATTACCCTCCGGGATTAACCATGACCATCCTTCTAATTTTCTATCATTTTTTTTTTTTTTTTTTTTAACTTCTTCTTTTATTTCAAATCATCTTTCTCTTGGGCTGCATCTCGGATTTTGGTCCCTAAAACCTTCAATAAAATTGAGAGAGATCGACTTTCAAGGTAAACTTAGATTTTAAACTTTCCATTGTAGTTCGGGTATTACATATGATCAATGCACTCTTCCAAAAGAATACCAAAGAGACCAGTTATCAGTATGTACTACAGAGCAAGGTTTTGGGTTGTTCATACACCGATTTCCAAAGATAAGCTTATCCTATTGAATTTAAATCAAGAATCAAGAGTATAACCCCCAGACAGAGTAAACAAAAAGGGAGATGTTCTATAATCTATCATCACAATTTGTGTACACTTCAGGACTTAACAATATCTGTGCAAATGTTCAGACCAAAACAGAAACTCGACAGTTAAAAATTTTCATACCTCTAGAGGAGGAAAACTTCAGTTCTTTACAAGGTTCCTGTTTAGTATTGCTAATAGACAAAACAAGATTTGTGCCCAAATTAGCACAATCCAATCGGCGACATTGGGGCACAACCACTTGGCTGGGCTTGAAACATCCTTTCAGAACCACATCCCTGTACCTAAATCAAGATCAAATCAGAACCAAAATCCTCAGAAAGGCAATCGATTAAAATTTACATGGAGATCAACAGAGGCCGTAACAGGAAGAGGAATATCAATAATGCCAAATTCCCAATGCTTGAAGTAGTTCAACTGAGAAATTAAAACGATTGACCTAACTATTTCAGGAAGACGACCAAATACTTCAATAGTTTTCCCCCAGATATATAGTCCAAAACATTCGATCTAAATGCAAACAAAAACGAAATGAGGAAAAATACCGGATGCAAAACACAGACTCTATTTTCAGTTATTAACAGAGCGTCAACAATCGATGAAGACAACATACCGTACGGATGACGCCGTCGCCATCGTCGTCGCCGGCATCGAGAGGAGCGGGTTCTGTGAGTTGCAGCGGAGTCGGGCGCCGCTGCTCGGAGCAACGGCAATCATCTTTCCTATCTTTCCGACCTTTCCTGTTTCCGCGCAAAAAAGAAAAGGTGAGGCGGTGGACAGTGCAGTGATACTTGGCATGCAAGAATAGGGCACGTCTCTAATTTCATATTTTATTGGGCAGCGTCTCTAATTTCATATTTTATTGGGCAGCGTCTCTAATTTCATATTTTATTGGGCACTTTATAGAAAATACCAGAAACTTTTGGGGTCGTTGAGTGAGGCATTTTGCACGGTGGAATGACGGCGAGGGTTATTAGGGACATTTTGGGAATAATAATGTTAATTTGGGAATTTTAGGTGAAACTAAATTTTATTAAACACAAAATTTAGAAGGTATAAGATTGAAAATTCAACAACAAATTAAATATTTTTCAAAATTATTTATATGTCTTAGAAGAAATTAAAAACATTTTAAATTTAGAAACTATAATATAATTTTTAATTTAAATCTTATTTTGTTTTTGGTTCTTTAAGGTTTTTTTTTTCTTAATCTATTCTATTTTAATATGTATAATTGGGCATAGAGCAATCGCAATGAACTAATTGCCATAATTTTTTCTTCACCCGATCATGTCGTTTCTTCATTTCATAGCAATTTGAGTGAGCGTCTTATCATCGAAGTTCACTCTACTTGTCAATCAAGACACTACATGTCATCGCATTCTCGAGGAATTTGTTCGATACATTTACAGGAATCTTCATAACTGCCCCACTATTGTTATTGATAGGTTGTCGATTGACGCTTGTTTGATTCTATGTGTCAATTCTCTCGGACCTAATTTAAAAATACCCTCAAGCAATCTATCGTGTCCTTTGCATTGCAAGTAACAATAAGAAGACTATAAATATAGACATTCTATTTTCGCATAAATTAATTAAAATATACTTTTTAATTTTATAGTTTATTTTTAAAGTAATTTTAAACTTCCAAAATTTTTAATAATATTATTATTGGGCCTTAAAAAATTATATTTTTTTATTTTTAAAATACTTTAAAGATATTTTTTAATTTTTTTTTTGAATCAATAGTTATTTTTTAATAGGTTTAAGATATATGTTGATACCGTTCTTGGCAAACAATCCAATAAAGGTTGTAAATCCAAAAAGGAGCAAGAAAAGGCAAAGCCTTGTTGGTAATAGCTTGGAACATTTTTGTTGGAACTGAGAATGAGAATAAGACAGCCCTTTTAGAACATCCCTTTACACCTCGAATTCAGTTCTTTGTGTTTTGATGTCTTGTCCTACTATTTCTTGCCATAACTTTACAAATTTATGAGACGTTTCTTTGAAACTTTACAAATTTATGAGACGTTTCTTTTCTAATCCAATTGATTTATATCATGAAGGTTCATAAATATGACTCAGCTTTGGGATCAAAAGATCTATCCCAATGAATTAGTTGGTATCAGAAACATTAGAAGTGAATGGAAGAATAAGTGGGTTTATGAAGGATTACTTCTCGTGATCATTATTGGACTTAGAAGAGTATGCCAGTTGAAGGCATGAACGTTTCTTATTCAGCCTTGAAATTTTTTTTATAAGAATAAAATGATGTTTTAGCTCGAGACTCCAACCGCCTGGATTCCATCTTCTATCTCGATATAAGAAAAACATATCTAAATAAAGAATTGCATAATTATATTAAATTATATATGATACGAGCATAGTATGCCTATGATTTATATAGGAATTAGGAAAAAAAAAAAGAAATTATTTGTGACACATGTTCTTTTTCCAAGAATGATAAAAATTAAAGAATGGAGAATAACTTTAAAAGAGAGAAAACTTTCTTTTGTCCAAACCAAGGTAAGTTTAAGATGGATTAATACTTACTCAAAATATATTAATATTAAATTAACAATAAACAATGTTGATTAATATTAATTACGCTAAATAGTCTTATCTCCTAAATTATAGACAAATCATTACATGTGAATTACATGTGAACAGTTGACAACAATTTCCATTTTATTTATTTTCTTAATTAAAAGTCTTTTTTTAAGGATCATAACTTTAGGACTCAGGAATCAGATCATTGACTTAAAAAAGGAAATTAAAAAAAAAAAAAATATATATATATATATATAAACGGTAAAACGAAAATAGTACAGATGTCAGGATTTGGTAAGTGTAGATCCGCATGTTTTGGCGTCAAAGCCTAAGCCCTCATCCAATTATACAAAATTTTGCCCACGTGGCATAAGAAGCAACTAATTATATGCTTACGTGGACAAAATGACGAGGATACTTTTTTTTTTTTTTTAATTTTTATATATAATATAAATTAAAAATAATTATAATTATCCAGTTCCTGTTGTGATAAATATTTTTTAAGATTTAATATCAAATTTATTTATAAATTATGTATAATTTAAATTATATATTTATATTATGTACAAATTATCTAGCGCGTTTACGCCCGTTCTGTTTGTCATACAATCAAATAGCTCTTCTTCGACAGAATTCTGTACCCACTCTGTTTGTCCGAGTTCTCATTGTGTTCTTGGCTGAGATGAGATTTTTCTCCTTCTTCACTAGAGCTTCGAGAGCTTTTCATAGCTCCCCTACATACTCAAAGCTTCTGGTCATCAGCACCCTCAGGTTTCTGCTTCTCCTCGCGTTCTATTTTTCATTGATTCTTCCTAAATTCACATATCTAACAGTATTTTTCTCACTCTTAATTTGAGATGGAAGAAATAATCGAGGAAAATGCCTTTCCTTCTTCGACTGATTTGAGATTTGTTGCTTTAACTTTCAACAGCTTTAAAATTGTTTTGTTACGAGTTGCAAGAATCATGGATGATCGACTATAGGTCTGGGAATAGATTATTTAAGTTTGTATAACGATGGAGTGACGGTAATGGATGGTCACTGAAACCATGGCGTAGATCTCGAAACTTTAAGCTCTGATTTTCATGTTATAGCTCTCAGTTTCTCCATCCCCGACTGGCTTGCTCATATTTTACATTCTCAAAATGGAAGTAGTTTACTAATCGTCGGTTGTGATGGTTAAAAATTGATGAAATCTATAAAATTCTATTGAGCGCTAACCTCTCATTTCGTTTGATTCAGTTCTGTTTTCTTTCAGTAGTTTGTAGTACTAAATGGAAGAATCTCAAGGGGACTAATCAAATCTTTAGTTTTGTATTTGTTAAAGTAGCTGACTCTGAAATGGTTTGTTTTGGCTTCAGTAGCGGAGGTCTATTGGCATATGCAGATTCACAATCAGACGCTAGCAGTCCTATTGAGGAGTGCCCAAAAAAGAGAGTTCTGGTGCTTGGAACAGGATGGGCCGGTACCAGTTTCCTCAAGGATCTGGATGCATCGAAATATGATGTTCAGGTTGTTTCGCCTCAGAATTATTTCTCATTTACTCCTTTATTGCCTAGCGTTACATGTGGAACAGTTGAAGCACGGAGCATTGTCGAACCTGTTCGAAACATCGTGAAGAAGGTAATTTGTGTCATATGCTCAATTTGATCAATAGCATCATATTATGCAAGTAATGAATTAGGAGAAGAGTATGGTTTTTCTTTTTTTATAGGAAACTTGACACCATGTAATCGTCAAAAAAGAGAGGAAGAACACAGCCTAGGGGTCCCTAAGCTTGATTCTAAGGGTTAATTCAAAAGACTTCCAATCTAAATTAATCAATAAAATTGTGTATTACAGAAAGAATTGTGTGAAGCACCACATGAATAAGCTGTAAACTGTACATTTTCACAAAAGAAAAAAGAATTCGCTAGGAGAAGAGTATAGTTGTTGTTTAATTTTGTGAAGAATAGTGTCTTCTGTTAGTATTTAATCGAAATTATGAAGCTGCCTAATTAC